CACAGCTTCCAATTTACATTTCATTTATCTTGCAATTGTTCACTTTTCTGTTGTACGTCTGTTGCATTAACATATTTTTACTTTTGTTGACATATTCTTGTTGTCGTTCACATTCACCAGCTTAGTTGTGAATTTAATAGAAATTGTACAGCATTACCTGGTGATGCTGGCTAATTATAGCAAAATGTCGTCATTAGTTAGTTGCCAACAGTTGGCCGTATTCACGATGTTTATTCGCACAAACGCACATACAAGCATTTCAGCCAGCGTTTACAAGGCAGCGCTATCATAGCTGACGACAACATTATTATTGTTGTCGCTATTATTGCCATTTATTAAGGCTGACTGTGAACTTGTTGTTGTTTTTATTGTCTCTTATTTTTGTTATTGTTTTTATTTTTCAATGAATATTGATGAATGAATCACCGCCCATTTGCAGCTGTTTGATCGCACATTTACTCCTAGAGACACATATACATATATACATACATATATATTTGCTACATATGACATATACACATGTCTACATTTATACATAAATTTATATGCAAGTTCGTATATACCCGCTTGCAAAGACCATCGCTGGGAAATTTTTATGCCGTCAGCAAATAAATTCTTTCTCGCCGCTTGCAGTTTGATGACGTCGTTGCCACCTGTTACGGGGTGTATTAGCAAAATAAATTGCTATTTTAATACAATATCAGCGCAGCTGTTGAAAATCAATGATTATTTTAATAGATAGGTTTGTTAGCGCAAGCTTAGTCAATTTATGACTATAACAACAAAGCCAATTATACCCGAGCTTCATCAACTACGCGTAGGGTAGAAGTATTTTCTTCAGATCACGTCCTTTCTCACCACCACCGTCGCTCATTTGACGGAGCCGCCGATATTGGACCACTATAGCATATAGCTGCCATATAAACTGAACTATCGGAATTAAGTGCTTGTATGGAAAGCTTTTTCATTTGAGATATCTTCCAGTAATTTGGCATGAATATTGTATATAAAATTTTGCAATCTCCGAAGAAATTGTTCAGACCGGATCACTATAGGACAAAACGTGCTGATCAAAATCAAGATAAACATTTTTTTTGTACACCGTTGTGCTATAAAAAATGCACCTGTGCAGGGTATTATAGCTTTGGTGCAGCGGAAGTAAACTTCTTTCTAGTTTTTCTTGATTTTTTTTTATTGAAAAGGTTATTCTTTGCTGTGACAATTTTTATTGATCTTGAAATTTACCTGTATTGTTAAAAAAGTTTTTTGGGGTCCTTTATATTACGTACTCATAACTCAAGTTTTACACAAACTGATAAAACCTGAATACATTGACTAGAAAATATATTATTCTGATGTTGCAATAAGTGTACCAAAATCTGTCGACTTCGTTAGGGTAGGTAGATGAGAACACTAACTAAATTTTATATTAAAAAAAACGTTTTTAACAAAACAGGTAAATTTGAAGATCAATAAAAAATCGTAATAAATTTCAATTCAATTTTGTAAAACAAAACAATTTTGAAGTTGAGCCATATAAAAATTGCATGTCTGCGAGAGGGCTCTATGAATAACAGTAGTTCCCTCTTTATATTTTTATGGCTTCACAACGAACTCCATATAGTAGTCTAAGTGCAATCTCTGGATCAGTTTAATCAAACCTAAGCTAATCTCTTTAGAACCACAAACATATATTTTTATTATTTAATAACAAATGAGTCCCCAAAGCAAGATGCAAAAAATGACAGAGATTCAAAAAATATCAAAAAAATTAAACTTATTCCCACTGAAAGGGGTTAGTATAGTTAGCCTTTAAAAACCTTTACCTTTACTTTAAACCAACCTTTGAAAATACTATTCTAAAGTTTTAAATCGATATCTCAAATAGTTTTTGAGTTATAGGCTTCTAAAGTGTAGCCGCTTAGTTTTATTAGCTCCACCCGTTTATCATTTTCGCGTTTTTATCAAAACTACATTTTTCAAATATGATTAAGTGATTACTTGAAGACAAATACTCCGATTTTTATCAATGAGTTTTGGCATGTTCTATATACATACAATGACCAGCAAGTTTCTTGGTCTAATCAAAAATCCAATATCGGTAGGCCACAAACGACTAAAATGTTTATTAAAATTCCACTTTTTTAAAAACTCCACAATTTTTGTACTTGTTCGCTATTTTGTAGTAGAGAATTTTTTCCCCCACAGAAAAGGATAAAATCACTGCTGCAGTGAAAAACCTTAATAAATAAAATATTCACTTTTTTTCTGCAAAAGTTTTACTGTGTTTTTAAATAATGTATGAACAAATATATTATTCTTGAAATTTTAAAACTTTTTAAAATTGATAGAGTATGTAGTTTTTTTTTTTTTTAATTCCCAAAAGTCACACTAGTTGAGCCCCTTAACAAAATAAACCGTTGAACTTTAATTTCATATATTAAAGAGAGCGAAAAGAGACAAAAGTATTAAAGTATTTAGAATATGAAAGCGAAAGCACGGGAGATTAACGATCTTTCGCTTCCAACCGTTCTCACTACCACCTTAGCTGCTTATTTAAATATTTTTGTACTTTAGCTTTTCTGAATCACTTTTTCCCTCGAATAATAAAAATAAATATACACCATTTATCGATTGAGGAAATGCTTTTCATGCAAAACAAAACATAATTAATTTATAAGTAAAATTGCATTTCGTCAGAATTTCGCTACTCAGATTGACAATAACGCTTGCAATGACATGGAAATGCAATTAGTTTGCTCGACTAAAAATAACGATTGAAAAACCGAAAGTTAATCAGTGCTTCGGCATACAATGAATAATCGCCGAGTGTGTTATTTTGTGGGGTGCAATTAATCCAAGGCAAATGAGTCAAACTTTTAAGAATAATATTCGAATATTCTACTATTGATTTCGTCTATAATTAAACTCGGAAAAGCGACACAATTTGCACAGCGTTTCAAACTAACTCCCCAGTTATTAATGGTCTGCGATTCTCCAAAATTTGCAGAGGTGGTGAATCGAACAAAGAGCTGTCATAAGCAAATACAGATACACTGAAAATGAAATATTGACTTTATCACTGTTTTTACATACCCACTGTACCCCCTTTGCAAACCACAAACAAACCGCCGCCACTGATTGCTTCACTAAATCCAGCAAACACAAATAATTCGAAATATACATAAATTAATGTTACGCGCCTTAAACTATATTCATTTCATGCATTCATTTGTATTTAATTTCATGTGCTTACACCTAATCAATGCAACACCAACAACAATAACAACGAATGGCAATCGACAATCGCAACGCCACACAGGAAGATCTCCTCATTCACGGCGATTCCGTTTACGATATCATTGACAAACAGGATCACGCAACCATACAAGCCGAATTAAATCGCAATGTGCCACCACAACCGGGCCATAATCAACACGCAAGCGCTGCCTCAGCAGCCGCCGCGGCAGCAGCGGCGATCAATAGCTTGGAGGGCGAACATCGCATGTTTTTATGCCGCATGAATGTCAGTCGAAATGCGCGACGGCAAATGCGCTTCGGTGATCAGAAGGTGAGTTTATAGTGTAAAATGTTTATTTAACAAAAATTTAAGGAAAGCACAGTAATTAGATTATTAATATAAAAACCTTAATTTCTTTTTCGTAAAATAAATAAAAATTTTATCGTTATACAACTAATTATGAAAACAGAAATATTTTAAATAAAAAACTAATTTTTTTAATAATATATAATTAAAAACAATGTTTCTTGCCAAAAAATATATGTATAGAACAATATTTTTTTATTACTTATAACATTTTTTTTTTTTAATTTAAAAATACTTTTACAATCATTTTGTTAAAATATGTTATTTGAAAAAAAAAAATTTTTAAGTCTCAAAACATTTTTATAATCAACATTTTATAAAAAAAAATTGAACAATAAAACTGAAAAAGTATTTAACAAAAAATTGAAAAATAGAAAAATTTAAAATACAAAAGTTGTAATTATTATTTTATATTAAACCTTCTGAACTTAAAAATGTTAAAGAAAAGTATTTAAAAATAAATAAAATCAACATTAAAAATGGAAAAAAATTTAAGAAAAAGGTTATATAAAAAACTAAAACAAACAAGTATAACACAATTATTTTTGTAAATTTTTTTTTCTTTAGTTAAATCTGTTTTAGTTTATTTGAAATTTTTTTATTACAAATATATTTAATTATATCTTATTTAAAATAAATTAGTATTGCAAAATTATACCAAATAAACAAAATTGCTGAAAAAATATTAAGATAATATTAAAATTTAATTTAAACTTTAATTTTTTTTGTTTATTAAAACTGTTTTTTTGAAAACAAGTTGATGAATTTTATAACAAAAATTACATCAAAAAAATGTGTTAAGGTATTAAACATTATAATATGTTTTACAAATATATTAGTTCACTGTTCATTAAAATTTATTTTTTTTTGGTATTTTTTTAAATGAATTTTATACTACGAAATTTATGAAAAAGATATTTAAAAATATAAACAGATTTTATTCTAAAAATATTTTCGTGCATTTAAAAATATTTTAAGAACACAAATTTGTAAACCAAACTTTAAAAAAAAAAAAATAAAAAAGAAAACACTTAAAACAGAAGTATAAAAAATTTAAATTAGTTTAAAAAAAATATTAGTTTATATTTTTTAGTAAAATTTACATTTTTTATTAGTTTTTTAATTGATTTTTGAAAATTGTTTTGAAAAGAAAGTTTTTTAAAAGTATGTTTTATAGAACAGACAAAAAAATATATTTATTTATTGAAAAATCGATTTTGAAAGATATAATAAATACTTATAGTATATAAAAAATAATTTAAGAAAAACAAATTTATTACAAATCAAAAGAAAGGAAAATATACAAATGAGTTTGATAAGTATGAAAGTTATCCACATAATTGCTCAATAACGAGATCGATGAGTGTGAGAATCGCTCTCTCATTGTAGATGCACTTCTATCAACAGAGCGAGAATCCAAAACGCGTGTCAAGGTGTTAAAATCACTGTTCGCCATACGCGCCACTTCTCGCATATCTCATCCTTGTTTTATTGTTGTTGTTGCGGCAATCATTTGTGTCCCCGTCAATGCGTCTGTGTTTTCACGAATAAAATTGATGAATGAATCACAAAGCCACAGCTGGCCAATTGGCGACGCAACGGAGCTGTCACAGGCCGTGCACGAATGAGTGAATGAACGAACGAGGGAATGAAAAAGCAAAAAAACGCGCAAGGATAGCGCCGAGTTGCGTGTTGGCAATTGCAGTGACACAAGCACGCGCACACACACACAAAACATGGTTGTATATGTGACAACGCGCGAGACACAAAAAGTTGCCAGCGCACGCGCATTGAAAATGAATTATGCATGAGGCGTGTGCGTTCGTTGCAAAAAAACAAACAGTGCACATTCACACACACACACACAGGTAAAGTTTGATTGGCAATGTAAGGAGCGCATGCGAACGCTTCGTTTGTTGCCGCCACAAAGTGATTTATAAACTGACAAACGATGACAGTAGTCATTGTTGCTGTGGCTGGCGCTGTCATTTTGCATGTTGTTGTTGTTGTACGGTCTCTTCGATGAGTGATATGTGCTGATGTGCTTTATATACATATTTGTATATGCTTGCAACAAGATGTTTGTTGTTATTACTGCTGTTGTTGTTGTAATTGGTGGTGGTATTAATGCTGTTGTTTTAATAATGTTTTTGTTGCTACTATTGTTGTTATTGTTGCCGTTACTGTTGATATGACTGTTGTTGTTTTTATGACTGTTTGCTTACCACCTTTTGTACGGCAAAACATTACTTGCCACTCACTTGCAACACATGTATTTATGTATATGCAAACGTATGTGTGTGTATGTAAGTATTTCATTGCGAATGAACGCTCATTTTTTCATTCCGCAACTTTTACTTTGCCTTTATCCATCTGTCACTTGTTGCATTTTATGAGCGATTGTCAACGGTGGCACGGTGGCATGCAACACGCACTTGTGTGATGACTACAAACCAACATACGCGCAAACAAAGTAAACCACATGAGCGCAAGGCGTTCGTCAATGAAGTTGTGCACATTTGCCACATAAAACAAGACAAGCACAACAACAACAACAAAAATAACATCCGCGCTTACCACACACTCTTTTTCTTGTCTGTCACAACCAATTTGGGTTTTTGCTCGCTTCAGTTTATGCCTGCGCAGTGAACTAACGAGATCGCTACTGTGGCAGTTAGTCGGGTTTTGCCATTGTTGTTGTGGTTGTTGTCCTTAGTTTATATGCAACTTGTTGACATTATGTGGGCGTTTGCATATTTATGGACTTTAGCTGCTACATTTGCCCGTTGAATGCGTGGAAATTATTAAATGTATGTGTATGAAAAAATGAAAGACTTAAGCAACGAACTTCATTTGGAGGGAGCCATTTTACTGCGTTGTTTTAGTTGTAGAATTGAAAATGTTACAAAGTTAATTAAAAAATCACAAAGCTATCAATTAATTTTGTATAAGTATTTGAAAGTTATTATAATTGCTGCATCATGTGAGAGCAAATTTTGTAATAAATAGTTCTATAGTCTATTTTGTAATTTAATGTACAAACAAAGAACACAGAAAAAACACTATAACAGATCCAAACCCTCAAATATGGATTGAGTCTACATTTTATATTATTTTTTTTGTAAAATTATTACGGATTTGGTTAACTTCAGTATAAGCTATAAGGACTTCGAAAAAGGCACTGCTATTCTTATAATTATACAGCATAGACCTTAGCAAACCTTCAGCTATTCCATCGTTTTTCTTGAAGTTTTTGGAATAGTGTTTGTAATCTCTTATATACCAGGCAGGGTGAAAATTTTGTCCTAAATATCCACAAAATGATTTTAAGTGGACGCAAAATGACATTGATCGAACTAGCTAACACTCCAAGGATAGAAAAGAATTATTTCGAACGTACCGTTCATGAATATTGCAAAGTGCTCGGGGCAAAACAATGGCAAAATTTTTCCCGTTACAAGAAATATGTCGAAAATTTAAGGGGATATTAGTATAGTCTAGAGGCATGAATTTCAGGAAATTTTTAAAGTGTCGTAAAAAATGGCAATTAATATTTTTACCACCGATTTTTTAATTATTTATTTATCAAAAAAATAAAATAAAAACAAAAAATTTCAAAATTTAGCAGATGATATGGGGGTCTCAAAAAATTGCCATGGGACCGTACCCACGATTTCAACCCTTTTAGCATTCTGCAAACAAATAAAAATAATAATCAAACTAGAATAATATCATACTGCCTGGTTCTACGGATAAGTTGAAAAAAAATTGTTCACAAAATGGCGACTGCATGAAAAAAAAAACAAATTTTTGTACCATTTTTTTTTAGTTTTGAGTTTTTTTAAAAAAAGAAAATTTGAGGATATGGATAGTTCCAGAAAAAGACAAGTCTACAGAGAAGACTCTCTAAAAATGTAAGGTAAATCGATCCAGTAGAGCTTGAAAAGGGGTGGGTATCGTTTTAAAAGACATTTTCGAGAAAACCGCGTTTAAAGTTTCGCGTATAGTTCTTTTGTTCGATTTGTTCCGGCCGATCCAGTTTGAATGCCTGGTCAGAAAAATACCTCCAAAACTAAGTTGAATTTTTAAAAATCCTCTTGTAGACATATTCTTGAATAGTAAAAATATAAACATATAAAAAAATTTTTTTTTTTATTTCTAGACTAGAATAGTCCCTTAATATATCACCTTCAACGGCTCCTATCTAACGAGCAATAAAATCGAGTTTTGGCTTAAAAAATTTTGTTTGCCAATACGAACTCTTCAGCCAATCTGTTAATTGGCGAACTACAAGAAGTTTCTACAGTGCAGCTTCTTGAGCTTACACTAGATATAAATTTCATAATGGTACTGCCCAGTGATGCAAATTAACAGCATTTTTGCTTAAAGGACTTGCTTATGTTGTAGTTTTTTTCTAATTTGTCTACATTCAACCTCATCTCTTTTACAACATCTTAAAAATATAATTTGTGCTCTACCCTATAAATATTATATTTTATTTCATTTACTTTTTCCACGCATTGTGTTGGTGAACGTTTAAGAAAATGTATGTTCATGACATGATATACATATGCATGTATATAATAATATAATAATAAAAAACAACTAATATTTTTTTCGGTACTCTGAAGACTAGGCTCTTAGGCACCTATACGAAAATCTCTTGAAGCAAGCGCTCTTAATTGTAACGGAAAGTCCGCCACCTTACACAATTCTATTAATTTCATATTCTTTGTAAAACTCATAGTTTTGTAGGAAATTTGCTGCTAACCAGAATTGATCTCGTATAAGACGTGTCTTAGAATCTATTTTTCAGAGTACCAAAATTCATTTTTTCGGACCCACCATAATATACACATGTCCGTCCAGGTAATAGCGCTCAAATTTGCCAAGCATAAAATATTGCTACTTAATCGGTCTCATAGTACCTGACTTTTATTATGCTCCTTTGCAAACAGCGTCTA